ACTGCTGAGGGGAGCAGCGGGCGGGTCCAGAGAGGTCTGCCACGCCATGTGGTCACCTCCGGGGCAGGCGGGAATCGAACTCATGCGGAAGTGGCTTTAGCTTCTCAGTGCTGTGCTTTAACCCGCTGCGCCACCAGGGAGGGCCTGCTTTTTTTTTTTTAACTAAACTCTCCACCAGCAAAAATATTGCTATGCACTGAAGGTTAGGTATTTTAGCAATAAAGTAATCTCCAATTAAGTGTGTACATTATTTTTTTAGCCATAATGCTATATTACACAGTAAACAGGCTACCGTGTAAGTGTGAACATGACTTTTCTATGCACTGGGACCCCAAACAATTCACGACTTGCTCTATTGCAATACTTACCATATATCTGTGATCAGGAATCAAACTCACAATATTTTCAACGGGTGCCCATACATAACCAAAGGCCAAATCATAAGGACCTTTAGAAAAGCGAACCCTAAGCTGAATACATACAAAAAGAAATGACCTGAATTGTGTGTCAAATGGACACACTGCAAAGAAATAGTGAATTTTAATTCATAGGTTTCTTGTTGATAGCGGCATTAGTATTAGCATTAGTATTGCAATTCTGAAACTCGTGTATTTTTGAGGATTGAGCAATTTATTTAAATATGACTGTTGTTGAAAGCCAGGGTGTAAATCAAGAGTCAGCAAATTTTTCCTGTGAGGGGCCAGATAGTAAATATTGTCACAACCACTCAGCTCCACTCTTGTGCAGTGAAGGCAGCTTGTGGGTGTTATGGAGATAATGAGCACTGCTGCCTTTCCGTAAACTAGGACAACAGGAAGCAGGCCGTGTGTGTCCCATGGGCCCTCATTTGCCAACCCCTTGCTTTGGTCTGCTGAAAAAGGGAGCTACTATTAAGGAATGGAAGCTACTGTTAAGGAATGGAATTAGTTTAGATTTTTTATCATCAATAGGAGATCATGGTTTTTGTTAGTAGTTTTGAATTGTAACAGACTGAACCAACATTGCACACAGCTGGGCTGCATGGGGATTTTCACAGTGGAAAGCAGCGTTCTACCATACTCCCTCGCAGAAGTAACGACTCCATGTGGGTTCTTATGACCATGAGCTTCTGGGTTTGAACCTCATGTGAGCAAACTCCTGATGTATGCACTGATGTGTGTACTCTTCCTCGTTTTGCGTCCTTTTGCGCGTGTGTCTTCTTCGTTTGGATCACGTGTTCTGGAGATGCCTCCATCTTGGTCACAGTCACGGTTACCACTCACTGTAGTGACCTGCCCCCCTGTTTCTGATGGGCGTCTTAGGGTGCTTTCAGTTTTCAACTCTTACAAATATTGCTGCTATGAACATTCTTGTTCACCTTTGGTGAAAATAAAATCCATATGGTTTCAGTTTGTACATGACCTGAAAGTAGAATTTCTGGATCATGGGGTATGCTAAGCTGCAGTAGCTAATGCTCAATAGTTTTGGAGCCTGACCGTTTCAGCTTATACTCCCATCAGCAGCCATATGAGTTCACGTTGCTGCCCCTTCTTGCCCATTCTTGATGGGGTCTGTTTTTACATTTTAGCTGTCATGGAGGGGCTGTCTTTTACATCCTAGACATTCAGTCGTTTCTTAAAGTGGTTTAATTTGCATTTAGGGAGTGATTAAATGGAGTATTTGGTTATCTTCTTTAGTGAAGTGCTGTTCAAACCTGTTTTCTATGGGCTGTTGGCGTGTTTCTTCTGACTGGTAGGCTGTAAATATTCTGGATATGAGTTCTTTGTCAAATAAATGTATTTCAAATGTCTTCTCACATTCCATGACTTGGCCTTTCCCTAGCTGGATGGTCTATTTTGAAGAAGATAGAATTTAATTGTAATGCTACCCAATTGAATATTAATTTTGATTTTAACATTTTTCTTCAAAATCAGCACATTTTTGCCCCATGGAAGACAACTTTACCTACCGCAGATCATAAAGACATATTCCTGTGTTTTTTTTTTCTAAAAGCTTTATTGTTCTATTTTGAGCATATCAATTTATGGTCCAGCTGGCACTGAATGTTGTTTATTATACGAAGTACATTTTTTCCATATGGGTGATTCATTTGAGCCAGGATCACTTACTTATTTTTTGATTGAAGTAACCCTGCATTGTATGTAACGTTATGTAAATTTCAGGTAACAGCATCCTATCGCCCCTGGTGCCCCAGTGAAGCCTTTGCCAAAGATCAGGTGATAATTATGGCTTGTTCCTTTACCTTCTGGTTTGCTGCGATGATTTGTTTACCAACCCTTTGGGCAATACCACTCTGTCTTAATTAGCAGGACCGTGCAGTGGGTCTCCAGACCTGGCTGTGTAACCCTCCAGCTTTGTCCTTAGGGTGACTTTGACTACCCTTGACCTTTCGCGTTTCCAGATAAATTTCAGCATTAGCTTGTCTGCTTTCACTGCAAATAAATCTAATGTGCAACGTCTTAACACTGAAAACTAGGAAGCATTGCTGAATAAATGTAGGAATATGTTCATAGGTTAGATTCTGAATATTGTTAATATGTCAGTTTCTCCTAACTTGTTTAATGGGTCAGTGAAATCCCAGTAAAAACCACAGATTTAGTTGAAGGTTATTTGATGACTTTTGGGTGGTATTGGAAATTAAAAAGCAACAACAACTACTACTTTCTACTTACTTGTCCTGTTCTATGAAAATTAAATAAAATTTAATATTTTGACCTTATGTAAACATCGCCAAATGCAGTTAAGAACTCACATTGTTTGTAGATTCTTTTGGATTTCTTATGTACAACATCATGTCATCTTCAAATGATAGTTTTTATTCCTTCAGCTCTCATTCTATGTTTTATATATCTTTTTCTTGCTTGATTATACTGGCTAGGACCTCCAGTACAGTGCTAAATCCTTAACATGTTACCAGCAAACAAGGCATCTTTGTCTTCTTCCTGTCCTCAGGGGAAATTTAAAAAACAGTTTAATGGTAATTGGGATGCTTGCTGTAGGTTTTGTGTAGCTACTGTTTATTCAGATTAAGGATGTCTCCTCTTCCAAGTTTTTTTTTTTTAATCAGTTAACAGTGGCTGCCAACGCAAATTAGGGAAACAGGATCAGATCCTCATCAGCGCACCACGTGCACCTCCAAGTGCCTCAGTCCTCACCGCAGCCCAGTGCACTCCCATGCCTGAGGTTTTTCTTTTCTTAACTAGAAGTGAGTGTTAAACTTATCAAATGCCTTTTCTGCATCTGTCAAAGCGTCATATAATGTCATGCCTTTTCTTCTTGTTAATCTGGCAAATTACATTGATTTTCCCATAAACACCCCTTGGTTATAAGATATATTATCACTGTTAAATGTCACTGGGGTAGATTTACACAAAATAATGTTTCTTTTTTTAAACCAACCACTCTACTGAGTTGCAATGATTAACAAGAAAAAGCTGATTATGTCTAATGCACGCAAATTCCACAGCTTGGGATAAGTAATACCCTGGAGCCATCTCCAAGGAGCCAACCCTCCCGAACTTGCCTCCTTCTCCATGTGTGACCACTGTGGCATTTTTACTTTTTGAAATGCTTTCATGTTTTAATTGTGCTGGTTTCATAGACAAGGTTGGCGAATATTGCCATTTTTTAGATCTTCAGAAGCATCCGGGCAAGGTAATGGTATTCCCTCTTTTAAGTGTTTAAAAGAATTGATCCACGAGCCAAATTTTACTTTGTGCAGGTTTTTAGTAACAGCCTTCATTTCTTGCATAGCGGTAGGACTGTTTCTTTCTGGGTCAGCTTCTTGGGCTGCTTCTCAAGGGCGTTGTCCACTGCCCCTGGGGCTGCTTGTGACCCGTTCTCTGCCTTTCCTCCTTCTGGCGCCCTCCCACTGAGCTGGTGACAGGCCTTGCTGCCGTGTCTCCTGTGTGTCTTATATCCTCTCCAGGGATGTCCACCCTGTTTGTCTCCATTCCGCTTTCAGACCTCATCTACTGACCTGGTTTTAGTGCTCTAGTGGTGTTTGCACTTTCGCCCAATCTGATTTTCAACCCATCTGCTACTTTACCAGCTTTACCTATTTCATTTTCTGTTTCAGACTTTCCATTTGACTTTTACTTAGAGATTCCAGTTCTCTGGTGAAAAAGCTCCCTTTTGCCGTCTGTTTTTGGGAACCTATTCCTCGCAACTATTCAAAATCTGTGCGTGGTAATTACCTATGCTTTATTTTCTCTCTCCGGGTCTTGCTTATTCTAAGCTGGTGAGTTGGGATCGAAGGCCCGCTGCTGGGGGGGGGGGTAAGAGGGCTGCAGATTGTACCCCTTGGCCACGAGGCTCACTCCTCTCCTCTGGAGGGCCAGGTCCCCTTGATTCAACCAGGACTTGGTTGATGCAAGACTTGGCAGCTGACTTTGGATGTCCTCGTGTTCCTCTGGCTCACCCCCACTTCCAGGAATCCCCACTAAGATTGAGGGCCCTTGCTAATGGCTCTTCTAAGTGGCCCGTCATACACGCCAGTTCTGTCCTCCCAGCAAGGTAAGCCCTGTGACAGACCTGCTCTGCTTCTCGACATGTTCACTCTTACACAGCCTCCTCCATCTGACTGAAATTGCAAATACCCCTGGAAGAAAACTGATCCCAAGAGCTGGGTCCCATTCTGTGTGCCTCCTGTTCCCTAGGATCTTGATCTCCCAGAATTTGGCTGCCTGGGGGATGCCAAACTTCATTTTTAGTGCCCCTAAGCCCACAAAGTACCCAAAGCTATTCTGCTGGCTCCTCGGCCTCATGCTCTATGCGAGAAGTCCCCGGACAGAAGTAGCTTTCCTTCTCCCTGCCTCTGGTGTCCTGGCCACCCTGGCAGTCCTCTGATTTCTTTGCAACAATTTTCTTTAAAACCTGGTTTGTCTAGTTTTTCTTGTTAGACCATTGGTCTCTACAAAGCTACTCCATCTTAGCCAGAAGCCAGAATCTGTCATTCAAACGTGAGTGTATTGCGCCTGTGTCCTCTGACTTCTGTCCAGTGATCTAGAAGGGCACACGAGCAGTAACTGCAGTGGCACCAAGCCCATGGAGCAGCCAGGCCTTGCTTCCTACTGCGATGAACTGGGCTTCCTGGGAGAGAAGGCTGACCATGGGAAAAGGACAAGAGGAACCTGGGGGGTCTTGCTGTGCCCGAAAGTAACGCAACAATCAGAGTGATGTGGGCATGTCATGAGGACACAGGAGCCAACTTGAATGGACACCTACTGGCTAAGTCTGCGGTCACTCGAACATCATAAAAAAGCAAGGGTGGTAACGGTTTATGATACATTACCAAAAATCCATGGTGATGTCTGAAATAAGAGAACAGGAGACGAGACCACCGGAGGAAAGCTCTGCCTTTGTTTTTGTTTTATGCAAGAATATCAACTACTAAATGGAGAAGGAACAAGACATTTCAAAAGCTGCTGTTTTAAAACCCCCAAAGTAATAACTGGTTCAGAAAAGACTCACGAGTTGATGCAAATGTGGTGAGGTGAAGTATTGCTGGGAACAAGTATCAAGCCGTCACTCCAGACAGACGTTTAAGAAAGGGAAAGATGCTATGACGAAGGCAAGGCCGGTGGCAGCCTGACCCGACACTGGCCTTTTGTGTGAACCAACAAGACACACAGTGCGTCATGCACGATGCGATCTTCTGGCTCCAGATGTTTGCCCCAACTCACCTCATGAGGAAACAGACAATTCTGTGGTGCGGGGCACAAAGCGGACACTGCCCTGGACTCTTCAAAAGATTGGATGTCATGGAGGACAGAGGACATCGGCAAGATTGCAGGACTGCAGGAGACCGTAGACAGACAGCTGAAGACTCGTACAGAGGAGCCCTGAGTGGATGCTGGTCGGAAAGCAGAAGCCACAAAGGGTGTTTGGGGATAACAGGGCAGATTTGGGTATGTGCTGCATGCTGGATATTTGTGGTGATTTTATTTTTTTAGTGGTGTTGATGTTATACTTAAACAGGGAGGTTTTGTTAGGAAATGCAGAGCGTCGTGATGAAAATAGAACACTTTTCTGGAGTGTGGGTGTGGCTGTGTAGCAAGATGGGGTGGGTGTAGACTAGGCTAACAGTTGGCAGGCAGCCAGAAGGGATCCTCCAGAGCAGAGAATGAGCAGAGAAAAAGCCCTTTACGATTTTCAACGACATGTCCACAAGATGGCAGTAGAGGAACACGCAGAATGTGCCATGGCTGCCTTTTATAAGGTGACCTTATTTTCTGATTTGAAAAGCAGAATGTAAGATTCAACAAAGGATCTTTTTTTGGTTTGTGAATATATTTATGTGAAAATTTATGCAGGAGTTTGAACACAAAATGCCATTTGGCGGTATCATTCTATGAATTGCTTTTCTTGAAATTAACGCCATTTTGTTCGATTTGGGCTGCAGAACTGAAAAGCATAGAAAACAGTGTGCGCGCGCGTGCATTTCCCAGGTGAGCAGGTCCACACTTTGCACCATGTCTCACGGGCTTGATCACTACCCCTGAAGCAAGAGGCTGAGGGCCCCCACCAGACTAGCAGGGCTGCGAGCCTCTGCCCTTGAGTCCATTCCCTGAAGGTGAACTTGTGCGTCACGCAGTACCGGAGGCCTCGAAGGATATGGAGCCCGAAGACCTGGATGTGAAGGTGACACTGTGCCGCCTTCCTCCCTTCTACGCCCACACCCGCACATCCGGGCAACTGTACCTACCACAGTATGTGCGGTGCATGAAACCAAACAAGCAGCCATTTGCCTTTGTTTATTTTCTTACACCGCAGAGGGAAATAGCTGGTCACATATAACTTTCTCTTGATAAACATTTACCAAAAGAGTTCTTTTTGCCAGGGTAACATGAAACAACCTTCTTGTGATTGCAGAAGCTTCCAGCCTCCTGGGAGTGTCAACTGTGCGTGTAGTTTTCTTCCAAGAGTTCTTGGTTTGCATCCGGCCTAGGTTTCCACAAACTGCAGCGTGAGTGGCTGGGTGAGGACTGGGAGCCAAGCACGCAGTGCTTTTCTCCCTCCCAGTCGCTGACCAGAGCCGGAGATTTCTCTCCTATGCAACTAGAAGCTTGCAGGGCGTGGTGTGGAAAATGTGTTATTGACGTGCTTGATGTGCTTGAAAGAAAGGCCTGCTAACCCAGCACCTCAGTCTGCCCGTCTGGGCGGCGGGGCCTGGAGAGGACAAAGGGGGTTGAGTATTAGTCAGCCAAGGGAGAGCAGCATGCCAGGCCTGTCGGGACAGCTGGTTTCAGGATCATTCACTGAGTGCTTCCCATTCTTTCCCTCCCACCATTGCTACGGAAGCCCAGAGCCAGCAGGAGCTAGAGCGGCGGGGTGGCTGAACAGTGAATTGAGCAGTGCAGTAGAAAAGAACTAGTGTAGTTTGTTCATTTATCTATTTAATTTCAAGAAACAGAGATGAACTTCAGACTTCTCTCTCCCTGCGTTCCTGCTGCAAACATCGTGCCGAGCCAGGGTGTCGGCCAAAAGAGAACGGTGAAATAAATCCTAGCATGTGCTTGCAAAGGGTTCTGTTCACAAATGCCGACAGAGATGTAGCCAAACTGAGTGGTAAGAGAAACAGCTAGCTGTGGCACAACATAGAAATACATCACAGTTTGAAACAGACGTTTGCTGTCACCGGTCCAGAAAAGGACACGTGGGGACCACCCTCTAATTTGCTCAGTCCTTTGGTTAGGCTGTGAGGTTGTCCTATCGCAGAGAAAGGGATTCCCATGCTCTCCTTTATGTCATTTTCTTGTTGTCTGTGTTTTTAAATGAGCGCCATAATCTGAGTAAATAAATCATGTTAAGAAAGTCTGTGGCACAGTCCCCTGTGACCTTCAGTTGCTGAGTGGGGAGTTGTCTGGTGTAACCCTTCAGTCATTCATCCTGAGCACACCAAAGCCAAAGGAAGGCAACTGATGAACTTATAAATGACCTCTTTGCTACACGGAAAGCTGTTTACAGTATTTAAAGAGCTGAACTGAAACAACAGAAATAAAAATATGAGCTCAAATAGACAAATTGTTGGGCAGAAAGGAGCTGGTCCCCAAGAAACAGAACGGTGGCAGGAAAGTAGGCAGAGTGCAGCCTTTAACTTTGCCCTTTCTGGATTGTGGGCAGCTGCGAGAACTGGTTTTGCTATTGCGTCTAGTTCTGTCTGTATTTCTGCTGACGGGCAAACACCACCGGTGATATCTTCTGTGGCATCTTCCATAAGCAACAATGAGTGGTGCATTGGCATTTTAAAAAAGGATCTTTACAAAAAACACAGAAAGCTTCAACTGACTATTTCCCCTCTATTAAAAACACAGGCCAAACTTCAAATCACCACTGAGTTACACAAAAACTGTCTTTGGGGAAACGAAAGGAATACAATCCAGGCACATCAGCTTTGAATCTGGCATCGTTTCAGTTACCTCTGGGGAACTTTTAGAAATTCAGGTTCAGTGTCCACCATGCACCATCCCGAGCTGGACTTGGAAACCTGTAGGTACTGACACTCTGCACATTCTGATGCAGATTCTGGTCTGGGAACCACTGGCATATTACAACAAGCAGAACGCATCATGCTTCGGCCTGTTGGAAGGTAAATAAATGCAAAATGCTTTTTCCCTATTGAAGTTAACAGATGAATTACGGAGCTGCATTCAAATGCTGGGCTAATTTCTAAAAGAAAATATGAGCCCTCGACACTGAATGCATGCAGGGGCTCTCTGGAGGCTGCACTCCCAGGCCTGCGGAGGTGGAGTTCGTGCATCTCCTCTGTAGATGTGCTTTGCTGGCAAGGTTTTTAAAGCACCAAGGGAACTATCAGCCAGGGTTCAGTGCTTCTAAATCCTTGCAAGGACTAGACATAGGTGATCGGGGGCACACCACTGAAAGTGGGGGTAGTTGCTGCCCCCACAACCTCTCAGCTCCACCGAGCTCAGGCTGGCCAGTGACGCGCGACCGACAGTGACAGCTGGGACAGAAAGATGGCCGTAGCCTCCCTCCCACCTTTCAGACCGTGGGCCAGTGCATCTCTTGGCTGAGTGGAGTTCATGTCCAGAATCCTGGCTTTCACGGGAGCCGTGGAAGGAGAGGTTTCGGTGTTCGCCTCCTCGGTGTAGGGAAGAGGGCTACTGCATGTCCAAGGGTGCTGTCGACCTGGTCATGAATTGCCAGAGCTTCGCGGCTGGAGCTAGCTGGCCGGGGAAGGCCCTGTAGTGGACATATGCTGGAGCTACCGCTGCCCGCGTGCAAAAGGCAGTGGCGCTCTTTCCAGACACAGGCAAAATGGAAATGAATGTTCCCTGCCATAGAAGATGTCATTTGTGTGTTCCGATCCCCAAAATGGCACCGACATATGAGCGGAATATTTTCATCAAGTGAGAGTGTGATTCTCTGGTTTCCCCAAAGAACTAGTTTTTTCCGGCAAATCTTTTTTTTCTGAATATGTAGGTGACTGAATCTGAGTTATGTGTGAACTGTTCTCTGATGATTTTGCCTACTGTGAGTGTGTCTGTGTCTGTGTGTATCTACACACTTGCATGCCTGGGCGCCCATGTTTCTTGGCAGGCTTTACTGAATTATGACATAGGCTGGCCTCACCCTTGACCGTGCACACAAAGCTAACTTCAGGCTGCCTGTGGCCATGCTGCCTGTGTCAGTGGGAACATGTGTCTGAAAGGATGACGGAGGTGGAAGTTCTTTATCACACATCTGTTTCCCAGCTTGCTGAGCACTGAGCACTTCACATAGACTGTTTCCCTAGTCCCTAAGGTAACTCTTTGAGGCACATGTTACTACCCCCTTTTACTGCTGAGGAAACAAGTATTACGAGGTTAGAAACAAGTCTAAAGATGTTAATCGCTTTCTGAGGTGACAGAGTTCAGAAGTGGTACAGCCAAAATTTGAGCCCACATGTCTAATGTGAAAGATTCCAATCTTCTTTAAGACATTGAAGAGAACCTCAGAAAATTACTAAAGCAACTGTTGATGCCTCTTTTCTGTTGTACACTTGTTAACCCCTCAGTCTTCCTGTTTTTGTCAAATGTCTGACCAGGCTCAGGGGGCTGAAATAGTGCATTCAAGAATGGAAAAGAGCATTCTTAGTACCAGCTAAGACATCCACTCGAGGAAGCAGACTGACCAGAAGTTCCCCTGATAGAATAATCAGCGGTTCCAGAGCAGACGAAGTTGTTGCCTCACATACAGTTTTCAGGGTTACATTGTGGAGGGAGGTGTAATCCCTTCTGAGAATTCTCAAAATGCTTGGGGTTTAGATAGTGAGATATATTAGGAAAATCATAAATGGCAGATTGTCCACCATGCTCTCTGAACAAATTCTGTGTTAAAGAGGAAATTCTCTTCAGAAAACCACCAGGGTTGAATGATGAAATTTGTTGCTTGTGTGACATGGGGCTGTCCATAGTCAAAGTGTGTGTGTGCAGGGAGTCTCCATGTGGTATAAAGTGCCCAACTAATGATAAAATAAGCATCTGGTACAGTGTTTCTCAAATAAGGCACAGTGAGTAGTTGGGGGGGGTGTCCATCACGGGAAGGGCCGCCTTGAGGTCTCTCTCGTTGGGGTTCCTGGAGAGGCCAGAGAGGCTCTGCTTCCCCTTGTGTGACTCTGAGTAGGGAATGCTCTTCCCTATGGGCCATCTCTCTGGGGAAAAATGCAAAAGCAGACACGTCTTTTGCTGCTAAAAGCGCCGCAGATCCTACATGTCCATGGCCACTGAAATGCTCATTTCCCAAAAAGAATAGCCATTTTTTTTTGGGGGGGGCATAAACATGTCCACCTCTCTCCCAATTCAGCTGGGTAGCCTGGATTTTTATTTACTTATTCTGGCAAATAATCAGGCAACCAGGATCCAATATCTGTTGCTGATTCATGCCTCACCTAGCAGTAAGTCTGAAGCTAGAAGCTCGTCTGTTGGTGTGACTCCGGGCTGGATTGCTCCTTCCCCACTGCCACTGCCCTCCTCATTTTTTGAGCCTACTCTGGGATGAAAGCCACCCTACTTTCTATTCTGGAGCAATTTAACAAGCCTCAACAAGGGACTTGACATGCTTTCGTCTGAGGAGTCTTTTGCCAGTGCCCAGACTGTTTTGTAGAGTGGGTATCTGTGGAGACCCTCCTGGTGGCCATGCCCTAGCCCTCTTCGTTAGTTCACCAGGTAGCTCGTTAGGCGTCTCAGCCACCATCAGAGGCTTCTGTTAATCTATGGGCAGGATGGGCCTACAGATAAGAATACACCTCATCCCAGGGACTTTGCCAAGCTAACCAAGTTTTTGATGAAAATCCTCAGGCCTCTGAAACTGAAGAACCACTTTGTCACATTTGCACTTTACCTTCCCTTTTGTCTTTATTAAGGAGATTGAGCAGGGGAAAAGATAATTAAAGGAAGGGACTGTGAAGGGCTGTTTTGCGGTCTGTGTTTTAAATGTGAAGGCAGGCATTTATATGGGCAGAGTAGCCTAGTGTCCTCTCCCCTAATTGGGCACTGCTTATTTATCCATTCTTCAACAACTAAAGACTACACCAAGTAGGCTGCAGTGCACACGCCCCTCCTGCAAATGCGCGGACACTTCCCTAGGACAGAAGCCTGGAGCTGTCAGTTTGATGCTATGCAAATTAAAACTCAGCCAGGGCAATATGACATATTGCTTAGGAATACATACATGTAGAGCCCAGGGAAGCTCATGACAGAGCTGTGCCCCAACGCTAGGATGACGGTTACTCCAGGAAGACCAGGGGAAGGAAGATACAGGAGCTGTTGGGAGCTTGAGCTGAGACATTCTAGCTCCAAAAAATGGAGGTTGTGCAGGTGCACTACTGCCAAATGTTAGCATCTGTCAAAGGTGGGCGGTCAGTGACTGGGTGATTTGTTTTTCTGTATGACATAAATATCTCATAAATGGTCGTGAAAATTGTGATGTAATTAAAAGGATAACTGAAAGGAATTCGGGACAGAGGCTCTGCTGGCTGACCAGTAGTTCACAGCCAGACAGAAGGTGAAGAGCATTCAATTCTCCTGCCCTGTAGTCCAGGTCAGCCACGCCCTGAAGACCCAGATCCCCATAAACCAAGGTCATGCTTTTCCCAACCAAGGCAAACACCTGCTTGTTCAAAGCAAAACGCACTGGTTTCACTCATCTGTGGAACACAAATAACAAAAAAAAAAACAAACAAAACAAATACTGGCAAAGGACAGCAAAGGTTTAGTGAAAAATGAGAAACACTTTGGTTTCCAGAAGGAACAGTCTGGACAGAGGAGGGGCAGGGGAGGGGAGGGGGGCGGGCACTGGCGCGGGAGGTTTGGTGCAGGGGGAGTGAAGCATGTGCACCAACAGTTGAGCCAGCCTGTCACCGAGTTATATAGACATGTAAACAAATGACGTGTTTTCAGAAGTCCGACCACGATGGACCGTCTTCCTAGGCAGAGCCCTGTGTCCCTGTGTGAGCAGGTCTCATGCTCTGCTGGCATGGGGCTTGGGTGAAGAGCTTATGAGATGAGAGGCTTAACGCGAACGCTTGGCCGGGCTGCTCTTCAAGAGCTGGTAGTCTCCACTGGTAGTTTCTCCACAGAGACGGTGACAAGCCACGCCACAAAGCTAGGGCAGAGCGAAGCGAAGAGGACACTGGGGAAGCCCATTCTGCATGGAGACAGCGAGTCTTGCCTGAAAGCCCAGTCTGACTAGCTGCTGAGGCCTCTGGGTATCTCGGCCAGGGTGAGTGTGCCCCACAATGCAGGTCACACCTGGAAATGCAGAGGCAGCAGCAGCTCTCCAGTCCCAAACCCAAACCTGTGCCGGCCAGAAGCAACCAGAACGCAGATGCTAGTCTCAGAAAAAGACGTTTTCCTTACTAAATAAATACAACGCTCTTTGACTATTTGATGTTACTCGCCGGGACTTAAAGAATGAATTACTGAATTTTGAAACATAGCTATTTGATTAACCAACATGATAATGTTAAAAATGAGAATAGAAACCCAAAGACTCTATAAGCAGGCAACAAAAATTACCTTTGTGTCTAATCAAAGCTTATTTAATATTAATCAGTCTTTATAGTTTGTAAGTATCACTTAATCAATCATTAATTAATTAATGTAATCTAGCAAACTGGTGAGTAGTTTATTATGCTTTGCTGACCAGAGCTAATCAAAGCTGAAGCCATTTTACTTTAGATAAAACTACACTCATGTGGAAATTTTCTGCTTTCTATTTTACTGCCACATAAATTCATCCCCCATTGCATTTCACAGATTAGATTAATCTACCAATATTAATAACAAGTGAAATTAAAAAAGAGATCGCAGCCAGTCATCCAAACTAATTAACCAGCAAAGAATTAAAAAGGAGCTCAGCATTCTTCTGTCCCTGGAACCCGTACACAGCAGAGGGCTCGTCCTGGTCATGCGTCTAACCACGTAGGAGAAGTTTGCTGAGACGGCTCTTGTGAAAGGTCACACTGGTGTGGGGTGGGCCCTAATCCAACATAATTGAGGTCCTTATAAGAAAATAGCCACTGTTCACAATAGCCAAGAACTGGAAACAATCTTAATGCCTGTCAGCTTATGGATGGACAAAGATGTGGTAGATATACTCAGTTGGATACTACTCAGCTGTAAACAAGATGAAAGGCTGCCATTCGCAACATGGATGGGCCTGGAAGGAATGCTGTTTAGTGAAATAAGCCAGATGGAGAAACAAACACTACACACTACATACATGTAGCATGAGAACAAAACACTACATATTACATACATGTAGTATGTAGAGAAAACAAACAGACGAACAAAACAAAACCTCTGAACTCTAGAAATGATGGCTGGACTGGTTATGAAAAGGGGTGGAAGAGAGAAACATACGACACAAGGGTGGGTGAAGGACAGCATTGGACTTTTAGCTGTGAGCTTTATGCTGATCTCAGTGATGCACGCCTCAAACTTAGATAATGTGACAAAGCAATATTACTTCACTAAAACAAACAAAACCCATTGAAAACAGTCACAGAGGGCGCCAGGTGGGATGGCGGACTCACAGCAATGGCAGGACTCTGAGAAAGGGACCGTGTAGGTCACGTGGGATGTGCCAGCTCTAGCAAACACACACGTGCTCAGGGCCATCTGGGACTGACTTGTACCTGCAGTGGGGTGGAGGACTGTTCTCCAAGAGCGTCAGATTAAAGACAAATGACACAGTGATCCCCGTGG